GGCTGCCGGGAACTAGTAACGCTGATCAAACCGCCTCCGAAAGTAAGCTGGAGGCACGTTACGCCGGTATGGACACGGTTGTTACGCGTGGGAACCCGCCCCGGGCTGCAGGACCCGCACCTGCCGCTGCCCACGGGCACACGCAGCCGGGTCCCCAAACACCCCACCGGTCCCCCCTCGTACCCCTGCGGGCCCCGCTCCCCGCAGCTGCACAGCACTTGCCCTGCTTCCTACCGGGTGAGCTGGGCTACAAATATGCCCGCATGTGGTCTCGGATGCAAGGAAACTTTTGTTTGACCTTTAAATGGAACCTATTCGTCTAATTTTGAGTATCTGCTGGTAAAGAATTCAAGAGGGTCTGCGCCCTGAACTCTTCACTCGAGGAGTCTTCAGCTGCACTCTGAATGAGACTGCTTGTGTTAACAGGGATTATCCATACTTCTAAAGACTGCAGGATCTACCACCTGCTGTGTCACGGTGAGGCAAGTGGATGAGCTTTAACAAATTATCACAGAAATGTGACAGCATCAAAGATTTCCAAAGGAAGGATCTTTTCATGGATGTAGGCATAACTTGCACATGGATTAAACTGCTTGCATATACACCTCCCTGTTTACACAAGAGGTACAGATTTTCTGCAAAGTGTCAATGTTCCCAACAAGCATCACAAATAATACTGTAATTATTAACTATTATTCTAACTGGATGTATTATTATTAAATAGTATTAAACTTCACATACATTGTTACATGTATCTGTAGAATGTAAGAAAATGATGTAGGAAGGGACTGGAATGAGCATTGTAAAAAGAAAATATTCCAGTGCGTTTTTATTTTTTTGTCCAAAAAACACAGGCAACTTCATACAAACATGAAGTGATGTCTTCCCTCCTGTAAGGAAGGTAACATTTTTATTTGAACCTTTTAATCAGCTATGGACATCTTTTTGTACATTAGTTTTGCCTATGTGCTTTTAAGTATTCCCTTCCTCCACAGTTTGCCTCTTCATCAGGCTGTCACCAGGCAGAAGGAAGCAGGAAT